TTTCTTGTATGCAGCAGAAGGATGGATCCTGTTTTTGTATCTGTTCTATAAGTTTGTGTCTTTTTAATTGGCGAATTGAGTCCATTGAGATTGAGGGTTACTAATGACCATTGATTGTTAATTCTTGTTATTTTTGTTGTTGTTGTTTTTGGTAGTGGTGGTGTGTGTTTCCCTTTGTTGTTTTTTGTTGGTGTGAGATTATTTATTGCCTGTGTTGTCATGGGTGTAGTTAACTTCCTTGAGTTGGAGTTTTCCTTCTAGTACTTTCTGTAGGGTTGGATTTGTGGATAGATATTGTTTAAATTTGACTTTGTCATGAAATACCTTGTTTTCTCTATCTGATTGAAAGTTTTGCTTGATATAGTAGTCTGGGTTGGCATCTGTGGTCTCTTAGGGTCTGCAAGATATCTGTCCAGGCCCTTCTTGATTTTAGGGTCTCTGTTGAGAAGTTGGGTGTGATTCTAATAGATCTGCCTTTATATGTTACTTTGCCTTTTCCTTTTACCACTTTTAATATTCTTTCTTTATTCTGTATGTTTAGTGTTTTGATTATAATGTGGTATAGGTATTTTCTTTTCTGATCCAATCTATGTGGTGTCCTGTAAGCTTCTTGGACCTTGACAGGCATGTCCTTCTTTAGATTGAGAAAATTTTCTTCTATGATTTTGTTAAATATATTCTCTGGGTTTTTGAGCTGGGATTCTTCTCTTCCTGTTTTTCTTAGGTTTGCTCTTTTCTTAGTGTCCCAGATTTCCTGGATGTTTTGTGTTAGGAATTTTTTAGTTTTAACATTTTCTTTGACCAATTAATCTTTTTCCTCTATTTTGTGTCTTCAACACCTGAGATTCTCTTATTTTCTATTGGTAATGCTTGCACCTACAGTTCTTGTTCCCTTACCCAGATTTTCCATTTCCAAAATTCCCTTAGTTTGTGTTTTCTTTATTGCTTCTATTTCCATTTTCAGGTCTTGAACTGTTTCCTTCACCTGTTTGTTTTTTCTTGACAATCTTTAAGGGATTTATTGATTTCTTCTTAATTTTTTTGTTTGTCTTTTCCCAAATTTTTTTTTTTCGAGACAGGGTTTCTCTGTGTAGTTTTGGTGCCTGTCCTGGATCTCACTCTGTAGCCCAGGCTGGCTTGGAACTCACAGATATCCACCTGCCTCTGCCTCTCAAGTACTGGGATTAAAGGCGTGCGACACCACCACCCGACTTTCCTCGATTTCTTTAAGGGATTGTTTTCATTTCCTCTTTAAGGACCGCTATCATCTTTATAAAGTTGTTTTTAAGGTTGTTTTCTTGTGCTTCAGCTGCATTGGATTGTTCAGGTCTTGCTGTCATAGGAGAGCTGGACTCTGGTGTGCCATGTTGCCCTTTCTGTTACTGACTGCATTCTTACACTGGTGTTTAGGCATCTGGGTTTGGGATGATTATAGGTCTAGGTGTTGATTCCTGTGTTTGTCTTTATTGGATGGGTGTTTTGTCCCGTGGTTTGTGTTTCTTCTCTTGTCTTCTGGCCTAAGTGTCTGAGGAGTCTAGTGAGTCTTGAGGTCCAGTAGGGTGTCTCCACTGGTGGTTTGGGGGCCTACAAAACCTCTGAGGTTTTGGGTGCCAGTGTTGCCTTTTCCATTCCAAGTGCCTGTGTGGCCTCTGGAGTTCTGGGTAACTGCTTGGCACCTGGGATTCCTAGTACAGCAAGACTTCTAGTACAGCACAAGTTTTCTGCTGGGGCTGGGGTCCCTGGATCCAGCCTGGCCTTCAGTAAAGCCAGTCTTCTTCCAGAGCTGTAGGCCAGAATATGGAGCCCAGGGGACGGGGTGCAGTCTGGGCTTGTTGGGTGGCCTTAAAGGGGTATTAACGGGCTGTGGGTGGTGTCTTACCTGGGGTCCCTAAATCCAACCTGGCCTCCAGTAAAGCTGAAGTTGTATGCGTGTGTGTGTGTGTGTGTGTGTGTGTGTGTGTGTGTGTGTGT